ATAACAATAATACGCTTTTACTCCCCTTAAATTTGTATATAACAATAGAAATATAAAAAAGCTAACCTAAGCTCAGGGAAAGGGACTACATTCAGTGCATAAAACGCTGTTCTTCCATGTTGCCTCTATACAAAGTATAACTTGACATTTTTTAAGTATTATTAAGACTTTTATCTAGTACTATTTTAAATTTTTAATGTATTTGAGTGACAAGTATTCGAATACTTTTTATAGTATTCGAATATCTTTGGTAGTATTAGAATATTTTTGAAAGTATTCGCATCAATCAGCATATTTATTTGTTAATTCTGCTAATAAACAAAGACGCAGATTCATATATATACTTATGTGTAATGTGCAAATAATAACCATAAGGCATATGTATTTTATATGATTAATACACTCCATTAATATACGACCAATCAGCTTGGTGATTGTTTCAAATTCTAACCAATCAGATGATTTTTTATCTGATTAAACGCCACGTAGCTTTTTAACAGCGATAAAAATGCGTGTAGGAATGCGTAAAATATGTAGTGGTTTAAAATTTACTGTCTTTTATTAATCTCCCTAAAATACACTCGACCTTGGTTTTAAATCAGGATAATTTTATCTTTAATTCACTCAAATTTTGTTGCCTCCTGGAAAAAACTCTCGATCAAAAGGATAATATGAATAAAATCGCTCCAGCTAAAACTGTCGCGATTTTATCACACTTTTGGTCTCGAGTTTTTTCCGTTGCAACAAAACTTTCGTGTAAAAATAAAATTATCCGATTAAAAATCAAGCTCTTGTGTATTTGGTCTCGATAAATTATATACCTAATATGTACGTCGCGTCGACTACTATCTAAAGGTGTTGTTTTTAACAATACAGATATACCAAACTTTACACAATTGACGCGCCTGTAAACCCTTGATGTGACAAATAATTTACAACTTTTGCGCATTCATAAAGGATTTAAGTAAGTTTGTACCTGCACACCTCACCGTCTGTTTACTTTGAAATGAAAGGATGTTCATATTTACAATCTTGCTACTTTACATACAAATTTTAGTATTTTTATTGGAACTTTTTTACTTTAAACAGAACGATCAATCCAAAAAAGTAAAGGATTTCAAATTAAAATAATTTGTTTGTTATTTCCGACCCTAAGAGGGACAGATTTGCACATTCGGGTTTAAAAATGGTAAAGAGTTTGACCATCCCAGATGCGGTGTCTGTTCGTCTGTCCGTTACCACAATATCTCGATAACGAATCGACCGATTACGATGAAATGTTGTAGTTGGATTCCTTATCAAATTTGTAGATCGAAGTTCGTGAATTGGTAATATAGCGCAAAAAATAAGGAAGGCCCTTTTGACATCTGCGTGAGTTTTGAACCGAATTGCATGAAATTCAATATTCGTATAGCTTTAGCTATACAGGGTGGTGACTTGCGTAACGCATCATAGGGATTTCAATGTAAAATTCATAACATGCGATTATTGGCTCCCCAAATTATTTTAGAGCAAACATGTATTAAGGTTTTTTGTAGAAAAAAAATTTTTACATCAATCAACCGTATTAGTTTTCAATTTTTGCATAATAAAGACGGAAAATTGGAAAAATAAAAACCCCATCTTTTTCAATAATCTGTGATGCCATGGAATTTTATAATACAAAAACTACGCCAGTATCCGTCATGCCATGGAATGTCTACTATAAAACAAATCAAATTCTATCAAAAAGTATTATATTTAGAACAGCGAATTCAACATAAAGAAAGACCAAATTACTAAAAACGGTTTCCTAATATAACAATTTACAATAAATGTTCGAATAAGTCACCATTAACTGCAAGACAGTAATCAAGTCGATCATAAAATCAATTTCGAACTGCTGCTAATTGATAACTGGATATCTTTTTGTTTTAGAAAATTCCATGGCATCGCAGATTATTGAAAAAGATGCGGGTTTTATTTTTCCAATTTTCCGTCTTTATTATGCAAAAAATTGAAAACTAATACGGTTGATTGACGTAAAAAAATTGTTTTCTGCAAAAAAGCTTTATACATTTTTGCTCTAAAATAATCGCCAATAATCGCATGTTATGAATTTTACATTGAAATCCCTATGATGCGTTACGCAAGTCACCATCCCTGTATAATACGCAGTTCCAAAAGTTGAGCCTAATCGATCAACAACATTGACAGTGCCCTTTTCGCATCGACGTGTAAATAAATATAGAAAACGAGCTCCTGGGTATGGCTACAGCATGTGCAAAACTAAATTTTGAACTTGGTGTTAGTTTGCTTTTATTTAAAGTGTATATGTATGAAATTTCATTTAATTGCTGCTGTGTATTTTAAAGACCATTTATTTAAGAACGTGGACGTGACATGACATTGTACATTACAGTTTCAAAACTAGCCGACACTTGAACCACAACACAGTGTTGCCGGTTTTACAAAATCTTAAACACTACAATTGCTTCCATAAATAAGAAAATTGGCACCGCACATCATGCACAAAACCAAATTTTGAAACTGGCGTTAAATTTGCTTTTATTCCAAGTGGCTATGTATCAAATTTCTTTTAAATGCTTCCATAAATAAGAAAGTTTTCAATCCGGTTTGTAAATGGCCGAGATGCGAAAAGGGCACTGTGAATGTTGATCGATTAGGCTCAACTTTTGGAATTGCGTTTTATATGGCTAAAGCTATACGCATATTTAATTTCATACAATTCGGTTCATAACTCACAGAGATGTCAAAGGGGCCTTCCTTATTTTTTGGGCTATATTGCCAATTCACGAACTCCGATCTACAAATTTGATAAAGAATCCATCTACAAAATTTCACCGTAATCGGTCAATTCGTTATCGAGATATCGTGCTCACGGACAGACGGACAGACACCGCAAAATTATAAAATTAGCTCTAAAATTAGTGGCGCTAGGTCAGCAGAGCACCAAACGTAAAAATTTTACCCGAAAAGACAAAATGGTGGTGCTAGGAAAAATTGCCCCCCACCCTATTGGGGGGTGGCGCTAGCTCTAAAATTTGTGGCCCTAGCTGGCGCTAGGTCTGACGAACACAGCGCTTGCTTTTGGAAGTGATCGGACGCAATGGTGGTGCTAGCGTTAACATAGCACCCCCCGAAAGTCAAGGGCTTTTCTGCAAAATCTATAATGGCGCTAGCTATAGAGATTCTAGCGCAATCTATCTTTAGTCAGAAATTTGAAATGGTGGTGCTAAGTTAACGGAGTCATTTGAACAATACCTCTACTTACATTTTATCTGCTTTGCATTTCATTGTAATGTTTTTGTGCGAGCTTGCATTTGTGTATGTAATTATTATATACTCAAATAAACCTAAAATTCGCCGACAGATACACAAATAATAGTGCGTTTCCCTATGCATTTGTATACGCGCGCCGGAGTTTGTAACGTGATTGACGTCATACGGCGTGGGGAAAGGGGACACGATGCGCGTTACGATACCGTTTTTATTCTACCATGATTCACATGCAATAGAAGATGTGTTAGTCGCTTTTGAATGATTTATCTACTCATTCTTAGAGGGGGCGCGGCCCCCCTTGTGTAAAAACTCTGACCCATACTTCCGGCGTCGCTGTATTGCTGCTTCCTTTTCAAAATTTTTATCAACTCTTCTAATATAATAATTCTTCGAAAGTCTTTTTTTATTTCTTTTCCATGCAGTACGTCTCCCGCGCTTTCGCCAATGATTTATGACAGCTTTTTATTTTATTTATTTATTTTTCCTTTTTAGGTATTGCAGTCAATTTTGTCAGTCTTATATTCTTAAGTATGACTTTGTGTACGGAAGGGTTGATTCTCTCCTTTAATAATTTTGTCACTTCTCCAACCGATACACGTTTTGAAACTATCTAATTTTAAAATGTTGAGATATAGGTATGTTATTTGTGTTTGAAGTGTTCATAACGTTTCCCCACCATATTTAGGGCGGACGTTTTCATTAATAATTCATTTCGCGAAATTTCAGATTAAGCAGCGCATCACCATCGTTTAGTCGTGGAACGATCTCTACATATATCTCAAGCAATGTTTGTGTGTCTGTAGGTGTAGGCGCCTAAAGAATTGTAGGTAAACACGCGTTATTCAACAGTCCGCACGGCTCCTAAGAGACCTAAATGGTCACTCCTTAGGAGGTGAATTACTACTGTACTGCCCCCATTACAACACTTAAATACTTCTCGTGGTCACCCTGTAATTTCAAGAAACAAAAGTATTTATTGTTTAAAAAACAAGGTGCGCTAATAAATATCCAGGAGTATACGCACCCTATTCTTGATTTCAAATGAAGTTTCAAGTCACAGTTTGAAAGATTTGTTGTCAAAGTATTTTGATCTAGGCTCCAAAAAGAATTAGAAAATGCAATGAAGTATAATTTCTGTAATGTATTAAACTTATATTACACTTACGTAAGGAATTTAGGTGAAGTCAGAACATGATAAAAGAAAAAGATCCACATTTCTCAATGTGGTTTGCTTAAATTGCTTCACAAGCTCACTCTACCAATGTTTCACTTCGTCTTATAGGAAACTACTATAAGTTTAATATTTCAAAGTACATATTATGTTTTACTATCATAGTGCTAGTACTTTTTTAATAAATATCTCATTTGCTTGATATCGTTAAACCTGTGTTGGATCTGTTGCAATTTAATTTAGTTTTAAATGGGCACTGCATATACTTTGTGACGTTTATACAATGTATCTATGTAGGCAGGTATAAGTACTATCCATTTACTTTACTTCGATTAAACAAGCATAGTATAATTGATTAACCAAGCAATCAAATGGTATATCCTAATCAGGTTAATCGATTTTAAACAAAATAAAATTTTGTCACAAAGCATTAGTGCACAAATTAACTTATTAAAAAAAAGAAGATCCAGTACAATAAATATTTAATGTTCCATCTGTTCATTTGATCAGGCAGTGTTCACTAAAATATAGAGCGAAATAAAATTAATAAAATGGACATTATTTAATAAATAAAACATAAAATTGGATATAACAAATGTTGTAACAAATACATGTAATAATGCTACTCCACACTACAAAGATAGATAAATTATAACAAGACAATGATTAGTAAATTTGACCAGTGTTTCTATATGTCACTAAAGGATTAAAATAAATTATTATAGGTACTCTAAAAAATAATGTAATAATAATAGCAGTAAAAATTAAAATAAATATTTGTAAATTTAAATAATGTACAAAAAAATATTTGGTATCAAATTATGAGTATGGTTACAGATAGACCTTAAATTATTTGGTTAGTTGATCCCATTTTGATAAATCTTCAAAATTCGTATTGCTATCAAACATAAATATCACTAAATCATTTCTTGCCAATGACTAGGAAATGGAACCAGAAAATAATGTACTAAAATTTTATTGTCGTACACTATTGCCTGTTTGACGAATGGCAAGATATAAAAATATCATTTAACAATAAGGGGATATGTTTACAGCATCTGGATATGACGAAAGAGTTAAAACATAGTAACATACATTAACATCCCTCATGTAACAATACAGTTTCATATAATGACTACCATCTTAAACAAATAGGCGTTAATATTTAATATAACATCGACACTCCTGCAGTAATTTTAATATATTCTCTTTTAAAGTGCGCTGAAGTCACAAGGTGTTAATCAACAATAAATAACCATGGCAAATACCCTTTAAATTAATGTAGTGCTCGTATTAAACCGACTATTAATATCCATTTGACTACTGTAATACTTTCAACGCACGTTTCCTTACTACATTACATTTAGGTATTTTTCAAAGTCGCACACTAATTATTATTATAAGTACAAAAAATAATGAGACACAATATTGGACTATAAAAGCAGTGAGTCATAAAATATTTTAAAATTAATATATACAGATTGTGTAAGGTATAGGTGTTTTAAATGTGCCACGCATTGTGTAATTCATTTACAAAAAATTATTGTGAGCATTCTCGACCATACAGCTACTGGTCCAGTTAGTTGTCCAACGGTATGGGTCTACCAAGCTGCAAAATAAAAGCAAACATTTTAAACATGTAGTTGTAGAATTTGAAAGAGAGATTTAACTGAAACCCTGCCAACTTAAGTACCTACCTACAATAGCATCTAATGTCGCGGCCGGCAAGTTAACATTTTGTTTTATTTCATTTACATTAAATTATATACGGTAAGTTAGGAATTGTCTTTTTAATGCATTTTTGCAAATTTATTAAATTATTATTTATGAAAAAGGTAGCTTTTAATCTCATTTTGACCGGCTAGCTGGCTGCCAACAAACGCGGGTTCGTAGAAGAACGCTTGTAGAAAGAGCAGGACTGTAAATGTGCCTAGACGGGCCGTGTAATTTACAACTTTAGGGACGGGGTCGGCGACATCTGGGCGCCATCGCCGAGCGCGTTATATTAATGGTTGATTTTTCAGTGATTTCCTATCCTCTTCTCCAGTTTAGGTCGGATTGTTTTTAAATTGGTGTGGTCAGAAAGATCTTGTAAACGGGCATAAGTCGTGTGCGTCGGAATTTTGTTTTTTCGTGGGTGAGGGATGAAATTAACCACCTTCTCTAAGGCGTGCGTCTCGAGGGATAGTCGTCAAATTTTAGCGCCCAAAAGTTTTTTTATCACGATCTATCTTTCTCGTGTCGCCAATAGAAACAAGAACTTATAAGAAGTGCCCCAAAAAATGGAGTCCTATTTGTGGAGGGTTTTTTGCGAAATTAACAAAAATGCGAATTGTGGGTGAGTAGGACGTCGGAAGTGAGCACCGACAAAGGAAATGTGGTAGCCTCCAACAAGATCTTACTGATGATGGAGTCAAAACTTCCAACGCGAATTGCGGGTGAACGATGTCAGAAGTGGGTATCGACAACGGGACTTCGACAAGATCTTATTCATGGTGGAGTAAAAACTGGATAATAGAATTCTGATCTGCCACACCAAAATACGCTGAAGACTTTCATAATTTTTTTAAATTTTAAATTAAAATATTTGTACACAAATATTGTAGGTATACTGTAACTACATGTCACCCAAGTAAGTGCTGCCCGCTCTAATCTCCGTGTAAAAGATTTGCCCCTTCTACAACAAAAGGTTGCTGACCCCTGATCTAATGCATTAAGGGATTAAAAAAAGCATAATCCTGGAGTGGTGTTGCATTCCCTGAGCCTGAGGGAATTAGGCTCTGTGTAATCTCACAGTGATATAAACCAATCACACTTTGGGTGTGAAATTTTTCATCAATATCAATATTTTAGAAATCGCATACTTAAGGCGTTAAGTACCAGACTATTATTAATTGCTTTTGTTAAGTTTATAATTTGTTAGTAATAAATTGTTTAAATTTTAACGTTTATGCAGAACCGAGATCAAAACTTAACAAAGGATTGCTGTATATACACCAAGACTGCTTCTGTGAATAACATTACCTGAAATAGTGGCTGCAAAAGTGGTAAAAAAGAGAGACACCCTACAACAAGTTAAAAAGTAATCGTAAACGATTTACATAAAGCGCATTTCCACTTGCATTCATTTCCTATTTGTAAGATGCAACTTTTGTTAAAATTGTAAAAATCCGGCCACAAATATGAAAGATAGCGTTGCACATGTGCAATCCATTTTTGACGTGCTACTTCAATTTCAGTTTATAAGAAGTTTCATTTCAATGCTTTTCTAAATAAGAAAGTTGGAACTGCGCATGCGTAAACCTAAATTTTGAAGCTACCGTTAGATTTTCCTTTGTTCCAAGTGGCTATGTAACGAATTTCATTTAAATCCCTCCATAAATAAGAAAGTTGGCACTGCGCATGCGCAACACCAAATTTTGAAATTGGCGTTAAATTTGCTTTTATTCCAAGTGGCTATGTATCAAATTTCATTTAAATCCCTCCATAAATAAGAAAGTTGGCACTGCGCATGCGCAAAACTAAATTTTGAAATTGGCGTTAATTTGCTTTTATTCCAAGTGGCTATGTATCAAATTTCATTTAAATCCCTCCATAAATAAGAAAGTTGGCACTGCGCATGCGCAAAACCAAATTTTGAAATTGGCGTTAAATTTGCTTTTATTCCAAGTGGCTATGTATCAAATTTCATTTAAATCCCTCCATAAATAAGAAAGTTGGCACTGCGCATGCGCAAAACCAAATTTTGAAATTGGCGTTATTTGCTTTTATTCCAAGTGGCTATGTATCAAATTTCATTTAAATCCCTCCATAAATAAGAAAGTGGCACTGCGCATGCGCAAAACCAATTTTTCAAATTGGGCTTAAATTTGCTTTTATTCCAAGTGGCTATGTATCAAATTTCATTTAAATCCCTCCATAAATAAGAAAGTTGGCACTGCGCATGCGCAAAACCAAATTTTGAAATTGGCGTTAAATTTGCTTTTATTCCAAGTGCCTATGTATCAAATTTCATTTAAATCCCTCCATAAATAAGAAAGTTGGCACTGCGCATGGGCAAAACCAAATTTTGAAATTGGCGTTAAATTTGCTTTTATTCCAAGTGGCTATGTATCAAATTCCATTTAAATACTTTTATAATCAAAAAAGTTTGCAATTCGGTTTATAAATTGTCGAGATGCTAAAAGGGCACTGTGAATTTTGAATCGATTCGACTCAACTTTTGGCATTGCGTATTATATGGCTAAAGCTATGCTCATATTGAATTTCATGCAATTCAGTTAATAACTAACGGAGATGTAAAAGCGATCAGACATTTCTAAACAAAGTTATCGTCCACACGGACAGATAGAGGGACAGACAGACAAACGAACAGACCAACAGGCAGACGACAGACAGCAATGCATTATAAACGATCTCTAGGATCGTTAATAAACTGCAAAAGTGTAAAATTATGGAACATGTAAAAAACGGTTTTTTGTTTTTTTTACAATAACTTTTTTTGTAAGTGGTACAGAAAAAATTCCTTCCTTGGTGCAAGACTCGACACCATAACGAACCAAATAGCGAAAAAAGTAGAACAATAGCTCTTAAGATAAAAAACTAGTAGCGTCTCAAAACGAGCGGACGGACGGACAAAGTGGCCACAATAGCGCATTTTTTTTTTATTTTTGTGGAAATGCGCTAAAAAGATATACATATATCCCCTTCTCAAATTCAATACATTTTTTCCTTAACCCCTATAGTTACTCTCCTATAGTTACTGGACAGAAAGTTATAACAAGTTAGGTTTTAGAAGTTTACATTAATGTGCCAAGATAAACAATTATTATAAATTCAGTTAAGATTAAACATAAATTATTTTTAAATTATACAAACAAATTTGAGTAGATATAGCACTTGTAAAACAGGTCTCGAAAAAAAAAACTAAAAATATATTATAAAAGAATTGCACAGTAGGCATGGCGTGACTACTGATTGCATCTAGTTGACAATTCGCACTCCGAATAAAATCTTTAGCGCTGGTGAAAATCTGGGCAATAATTCAAAAGGCCAACATTATTATCGATGGCTATTTTATTAGGCACTTGATAACTAATTTCGCGTTTTTACATTGTTTCAATTCCTAAAATTGAAAACTGAAAACCATTCAACGGCTTCATCGATTCATCATCGAACGCATGCCATTTGAAACAAGCTATGGTTGTAGAATCATACATAAAGAAATTCGCAAAAACTATACAGGGTGTCCCAGATCAAGTGACTTTGTTATTATTAAGGATAGTGATTATGTTGTATTATGTGTTGACTGAAATCGGATTAAAAAAATTTAAGAAACTAGACCGGACTAAAATATTGATATTTGATACCCATATTTAATATCTGGATTTGACGTAGCAGAGGCTGGCTAAAGTTCAGAACTGACATACGCAGAGACATATAAACCTCTCGCCAGGAAAAATTGCCGGTCACAGAATACCTGATCCCGGTCTACAATCTGTGTTTTTCTAAAAATGTGAGCGACCTCCGGGATAGGATCGTGCCAGTGTTGAACGAAAAGTCTTTTCTGGACATCTTAAAAACTATTAAATCGGTACACAACAAAACACAGCAACACCAAAAGAATCGCTGAAGTACTGCGGAGATAAAATTAATGCCTGAAATATTATTTTATCTAGCGAATAATACACCCATTTGAATAATATTTTCAATGAAAAATAAAAGCTTCATTGGTTTTGTTTCAAATGTCATCAATCTGAGACGTACTGTTTCATCGGTCTAAACAAAGAGATTCATTTGTAACGTTTGTCGTAGTATTGAACATTTTAATTGCTACTGGCGCACACTAGTGTCCGTATCAAAAAGCTTCATATTATTTGTGTACATTGTTGAGCTGTCTATTGAGGAGGCTAGCCTTTGGCTTAAGAGAAGCTTTAAATCCATGTCGCAATAATCGTTGCCATGGATTTTAACTCAGATTTTAAGTTACGCTTAACCTAAGCTGCGCTTAAAGTTGTCGTTGCAAACAGCCATAAAAATTACAGGTATAAAAGTATCGAAATTGGAACACTCTGTACACATACAGACTCGCCTGTCTGGGAGTCACTGGAGCCCTAAAAACCACGCCAACCTTGGCCATGGAGGCACTTCTGGGCCTAGAGCCTTTACACTTAGCTGTGGAGGCAGAGGCTCGGAAGGCTTCCATACGGCTAAACGATTGGGATGAATGGAAGGATCGAGGCAGCCTTGGGCACGGGCGGATCTGGGAGGAAACCCTCAGGACCGATCCCCTCCTCGCAAGGAGGGACGTGATCCGGGCTATCTTGCTAAGACCAAAGCGTTATAAAGTCATTCTCCCGGATAGGGAGCAGTGGCTGAACTCGGATTGCCCGTTCCTCAAACCTGAGGGGCTCGTGTGGTTTACAGACGGGTCCCAAACAGAAAGGGGAACGGGCATGGGTATATATGGTGATCGACCGAGAGCCAGCGTCAGCGTCTCCCTTGGTCAGCATAGCACCGTGTTTCAGGCAGAGATGTTAGCCATCATGACCTGTGCACAGGAAAACCTCCGTAGAGGTTACCGTAATAAGCATATATACATATGCAGCGATAGTCAGGCGGCGTTGAGGGCCCTGTCGGTAGACAGGTTCCGATCAGCTACGGCGCTTGATTGCAGGCGAACCCTAGATAGATTAGGTGAGTCTAATAGGGTAAGCTTGATTTGGGTGCCAGCGCACTGCGGAATAGGGGGCAACGAAAGGGCGGACGAGTTGGCTCGCGAAGGCAGTGGTGGAGTCTTCGTCGGGCCCGAGCCTACCCTAGGGATTGCTCCCTCCGTTGTTAGGGCCAGGATTAAAGATTGGTTGACCAGTCAATTCCAGGCTCAGTGGCAACAAGTAACCGGACTCCGGCAGTCCAAGGCCTTTCTAACAGGGCCCCTTGGCAAATCGGGGTCTTCTAAGCTTCTAAAACTGAATAGAAGCCAGATTAGGAAGATCACCGGTGTCCTTACGGGACACTGGATGGTCAACTATCACCTGCATAACATTGGGCTCGCGGAGGAGTCCACGTGCAGGTTCTGTGGCGAGGCAGATGAAACTACCGAGCATGTGGTCTGTCACTGTGACGCTTTGATCAGGGACAGATATCAACTCCTTGGAGACAGATACCTGGAACCGAGGAGGGTGAAGCAACTTAGGCTAAACAGGGTCCTATCCTTCATTGAGAGGAACGGGCTCTGAACTCAGTTGCGAAGAAAGGGGGTAGGCACAATGGGCCTCTGATGTGCCTAAGTATTTCCGCGGAGCACACTTTTAAAAACGCTGAGCGAATGGCGTTATTACTTCTTTTATTAAAAGAATAAGATATGGACATTGAAGCGAATTTCAAACATCTAGCCTCGCATCTAGCTGTGGTTACCTCAAGTCCTCAAAATCATACTTTCTAATTACTTCATTTTTATTTGTTTAGACTATGACCAATATTGTTCTAATAAACTCATAAATTTGTTATTAGAACACTAATTGCATACCTGGTGAGTGGTGACAGGGTCAAATATGTTGTACTTATACATGATAGCAAATTTAAGTATGTTTTTCTAATTAGGTACGTACATAGTTAAACATTTTGTTCACAAAATTGTGATTTCTTCCTACATTTTGTATTTGTTTATCCGGTTTTTCATATCACTTTAGTTTCATTCTATTCTTTAAACACAAATTGGCATAATCCCTTGGATATAGGTAATTTGTGATTTTGAATAAACAACCAAGGTAATTAAATTTTAATTACATTACATTAGGCCGATTAGAATCGTTCTTGGGAAAAATGCCTCAAATTTTGATTAAAACATTACATAGCCATAACATCAATTTCAAGTTTATAAATAAACAAGGAACATTTTATCAGCTGTTATCAATATTCAAACAGTAAACTAGTCACTGTACTAGTCATTAATAAGATATTACTATTAAAAGTAATAGCCCAATAATTTAAATTTAATTTCAACTTACCTCTTTAAAGATCTCCATTATCGATTGCTTTATTCAAATCGGACACAATCCTACTGACAACGTCTTTATACTCCGAATTTGTTTTAAAAATTGCATCCAAAAAATGATCATTTGTGAAGAAGTGAAATACGCTATCAATTCTTGCTAGTGATTTCTCTGTCAAATGTTTAGAAACGATAAATTGAAGGCACTTATGAGATTCATTTAGGGCTGATATGAGATAATTACGGTCGTAACTGAAATCTACTTCGTGAAATGATATAACGGCCATCACAGCCATGTGTAGTTTGTTTTTAACATGCTCCGAATAATTTAACTCTTCTTGTGAAAATACTCCATTACGGTGAAGCACTCCAAGTTTTATGACGATTTTTATAATATTTTTTATTAGCTTCTCTGCTTCTTTTTTGTTGTGTGACTAAAAAATAATGTAGCTACACTCATGAACATGAGACAATTTCATACTTACGTATTGCTTAGCAAGGCAGTATAGATTGTCCAGAAGGGACGCAGTAACATCATCAATGAGAGCTCTAGCCACATGTTTGCCTGCCATACGAGACAAGATTTTTTTTTGTGCTCGCAGTCCAATATCTCGTGCACGAAATCCAGTGTCACTCATAACTAGAATTAAAACAAATTTTTAAACAATCATCATACATTAGATATAAGATATAATGATAAATAATTGATTCCCATAAACACAAATCAATAGGTACATGCTTCACTTCCAACAACGGTCCCTTGACGACATCTGCTGTTTTACCTACACCTGTCTTCCCTTAAGTCTTAAGGGTAACATTATTTTCAAATAACGGAGTAACTTAGTAATTAAGTAATCAGTACTATTATTTGTTACAATAACTAGATTTCTTACCTATTCCGTTGTTAAATCAGTACTAAGACGAAAAACTAAATGAATAACAAAAATGTTCTCTCCGATTACGAACTACGAGTCACAGACTATCATTACGAGTGACAACTACGAGGTTATGTTCTTGTTTGTGTCAACTTTAGTTCAGCTGTCACGTCAAGTAAAGAAATTCAAATGACTCACTTCCCCTTCTTCAATAACACGTGAATTGATCCAGGCTAATTCGTTTCCTACATGTATTTTGGATTGCCTACGTTACATTTTACCTTACATATTGATTGAATAAATTCAATGATAAATTGATAACGTCACTCAACGCCTTCTAAAATTCAAGCAATTATGAATTAAGTCAGTTTCTAATGGAAAACCGACTATTACCGAGTAAATGAAAACATTTAAAGGCGGTAGTAGACAATGCAATGTAAGAATTGCAATGTTTATTGCGAAAGCGGATGTGACCGTTTGTATTTACGGTGGTAACAATGTGACGCATTCTCTCCGGGAAATATGACGTGTTTTGTTCGAGAACATTCCAGAATACTCGTTTGGAAGCGTTCAAAAACGTTTGAGAAACAGGGGCGTATGTTATACAGGGTGTTTAAGGTCTTCTCTGTATCCTTTTAAGGGGCGGCAGTACAGCTCAAAAGGAGTCGACAAACCCCAAAACACCTTAGTCAAAAATAATTTAAGTGGACAATGCTGATTAAGTAGTAGATTGCTAGATTTGTACACAGATTAATCGTTTAATGTAAAAAATAAAACAAATATTATCTCGCTTATTAAATAACTTTTACGAAGGTGTTTTGGGGTTTGTCGACTCCTTTTGAGCTGCACTGTCCCCCTTAAAAGGATATAGAGAAGACCGTAAACACCCTGTATAAACAAATCGAATTGTGTTTCAGTCAGTTCCAATTTCAACGCAAAAGTAGTAAATAGTTCGCACTGTTATAAATTGCGTATGTTTAAGTGATAAATAATATTTTAACTGTCATAACAATTCATTTCAGGACTGTCACAAATTTATTGTTAATTAATAGTAAATAAATAAATCACGTAATTAAATTTACGTTACCGTACGCTTTGTTTTCTATGTCAATGTATTTATTTTATTTTGTCTTGATAATTTTGTAAAAGTTGGTTTATTATTGATTACTAAAAAAATCTTGTGCGTGATATGGGGCGCAAAATCCGTTAGGGCTTAGGGCGTTGTTGAATCTTAATACGCCACTGCATGTATCTCTTGTTAAAATTGCACGTACAAGTTCTTGCTGCAAGACATTCTGCAATTTTCTTGTTTAGAACTTGTGCTATTTTTCTTGCAATTTAGTAATTATTTTAGTAACATTTAATTTTTCAATTAATTTAATTGGTAGGTATGCACTGGACATTTCCTCTCTAATAGCTATATGAGGTTTGTTATTTAAAAGTTAAAACTGAAATATCTGATTATTTATATACCTATAGACCAAGAGAACAGATAACGACATATTTTGTACGATGATTTTCAGGACAAATTATGCATCTATAAACAAACGATTGACGGAAAATTAGTTACTTATGCAACAAGTGAGTAAAGTACCTATATCTTTTTTTCACGAGAAGGAAGATCCGCCGAGTGAAAATAGTATATTAAGTAAACAAGGGATTAAAAAGAGTTTTTGTTCCTGAAAGAATGGTTTAAAGCCCGAGGCTTGCCGAGGGCTTTAATATTCTTGAGGGAACAACGACTATACTAATCAAATTTTGTTGCGAACCGCGGCATGGACCGCATCCTGTGTGACATACCAGACCGCGCGGCTGATCGCAAGCGATTGCCCGCGGCGGGCAGACCGCGTTCAGTGTGGCGACCCCTAAAGCTACGCTTTATATCGTCTGCCAGGATATATTTCAAAGTAGTGACAAAAAAAGGAATTTTTTATGTATAATTTTTATACGGTCCTCATGGTTTAGTTCAGGGGTGTTTTTCCCTACATTGAAGGGCGTCTTTCGCTACCAACGCCACACTTGAAATCATCTGGCATAGCATATTTGAAAACTATCGAAAAAATTGGATTTCTTGATACAAATCTTTTCCGTGACCCATAGTTTGGTAATTTAGTTGATCACCTAAAGAAGTCACCTATTTAGCGCCGCCCCAAGTTAATGCTGCCACTTACGACTGGCAGACGAGTGATTTTATTATTAGTTTTCAACGTACTTTCAGCCTGTATTGTCGAATATTTTGTCGCTTATGGTTTAGTTACTATGTACGCTGCCTCCCGGTCTACTAGTAGGTATTTTAGTTAATTTATTATGTCTGATAAGAATTTGTTTAGTAAAATTATTCGACCTCTATTATTTTGGTCTTTTAACGTAAGTTGAGGGGATATTTTCTGTTTCGCTTTAAATAAGATGCGGAAGAGGGAGAGCGTCGCTTTTTGCCAAGTTCAGCGCGGAACTACGTTTGATAGAAGTTTTTAAATCGGCTTTTAGCCAGTCAACGAAGAAATACGTTTGTTTGACAAGTTAAATCAGCTTTAAGCCAAGTTCATGGCTCAAGTGCGGTCAAATGAAAATTCGCTGTACGAAGTTACGTCTTGTTGAAGATTGAAATCAGCGTTTGCCACGTTCAGAGCGGAACTATACGTTCCGTTCACCGTTGTAGTTTTAAATCGTGTTTAGCGACAGTGTACGTAGAATTACGTCTCGTTGAAGAATCAGTTTTTTGCCACGAGTCACAGCCAATATTGAAAGTTTCGCCTAGTGGAAGTGTGAAGATAGAAGAAGTTCCGTTTGCGTAGCTGGAAGCCGAAATCGTGGCTAATTATTTGTTCTACGTGTTTAAAGTTTTGGCCATCAAAGGTTTTTAAGGAGAGGTGTTTGTTCGGCGCCCCCTTAAGTTGTCAACGTGACTCAGTTGGAAGTTGAGTCTTCGTCTACCCGAAAGAAGACGCTGCGATTACCCGGTCGTTATAGTGCAATTGTTTAATCGAGTGTTTGATTCAAAATTGTTTTTGTGTTTTATGTAAGGATACCATTTATTTGGAGCACATTTCTCGGATCTGTAATGTAAGTTAATTAAGTTTTAATTTTAGATTTTAGTGTCTAGTTCCGTGTTAAATAACAAAAGTAAAGAGCTAGCTAGGGTCTTGTTTAGGTGTTTTGTGTACGGTCTTTCTGACCTACGGACCAGTGCACACAGCATTATTATTTGGCGCCCAACGTGGGGCACATAGCACATATGCGCCACGGGCCACAGTTGAAAATCCAAATAAAAAGTATGTTTAAAGTAATCAATAATTATATCCATTTCTTTTTGGTCTTGATAATTTTTGCTTTCGTAAAAATAATTTAAAAAAAAAACAAGTACTCCTGAAAATTGACACGATTTTGCATACAAAATTTACCAGATCTGGATAGTAAATCCCCATATTCAGCTCGTATTCAAATTTTCATTTATGGTTATGGTTGTTTTCATTTCTTAGCCGTGCGTGACCAGTGGCGTATCTCCACTGTATTTATTGTAACTAAGAAAAATAAATATTGCATAAATATCACATCTAGAATTTGTCACTGCCAACTTAAAAAAGTCCGCCATGACGGTAAACTACACGTGTAAGACAATTTTATAATACATACATCATAGGGTGCTTGGCAGTCCATTTTTTTTTTAAAGTTCAGGCCCTCATATCAGTGGCGTATTCAAACATATGCTAACTCATACATCTTCGCCATCTTCGTATGTGCACCCTTTGTGAAATTGGGTGGTGATGTGAATAAAGCATTGCGCATTTATTTAATTATTCTTATTAATAATATATTATTATTAGTAACATACTAATATATACTAAGTATAAGCCAATACTTACAAAGACAATGATTACATTCTGAAACGATGTACTGATAAATCAACCAACTCTCCAATTCTGTTGATGTGACGGACATTTTAGATAAGGCCTAGTATGTTAGGTGTATTGTAAAAACCTTGTGCATCTGGAACAAAATGTGCAAATTAGTAAATAAATACTGACTGCATTACAGTGCGTTTAAATAGTCAATAGCCAGGTTGCGGACAGCATTTTCCGTTATGTTAGACGGCCATTTATTCTTATAACATAAGAAATATAAATTTTTGTAGAAATAATTTACGGTATGAGGGCTTTTTGTACGATATATTTATAAATAGCGGAACCAATGAAAATGAAGTTCTTATAATGTGTCACTGCGCAGTACGTAATCACTCATAAATAACATTTTCCTGCTAACCTACAATTGTGCAGTGTTTATGTTGGCGGTAGTTCTTTTCTTTTTGTCTAAGAGCATAGTAGTGAACTTTGGACATTTTAACACAATGTAAAATAAAAGTGAGGTTAAGACTCCTTCAAACTTATAAGCAAAATTGAACACGCCCAGCACACACCGCAACTTAACTTTGCTATAAAAATGTGTTATACTTATAAACTTATATTATAAGGAAAAATGGCCGTCTAACATAACGGAAAATGCTGTCCGCAACCTGGCTATTACCCGTGGCTCGTTATCTTAATGACTTGATCCGATCCTCTAACAAATAAATCGCGGTCACAGTGCTGACAATTATAAACACATAATCCCAACGTAAATAGTTTAAAAGATTTCGTAATGAATTATAACTACCGTAAGTGGTGCCCTACCATGGAGTACACTTTGTCGTGGTGTAGGGCTCAGTAGTCACATTTTTCTGTGGCACAGCTAAGTATCCCAGGCGGGTAAATCTGCTTCCAAGGATGCTGTATCATTCAAATGCTTCATGGTGTAGAGAAATCCAAAAGGGTTTTCGACGATTGCTCATTAAACGTAATATAGAAAACTATATTGACATGAGTAGCACATTTTTCACGTACGTTAACTCCTGAGGCGTGCGGTAGACGACAATTTGGACAAATTCCGAACCCGATTGAGGCATTTGCCGATAGAGTTTCGAATAATCGGACTAGATCATGACTTGTTAAACGTGATAAAGGATCGACACTAGTACTCCTTTGGACTCTGAGGGGTTGTAAAAGTAACTTGATGGTAGCGAAAAGAAAATAATTGTTTTCTTCGTCGACAACTAAGGAAACTGCATATAGCTTTGCGTGAACCGTATGTTGCGGGCAAATTTTGACTTTACTGTGAATAAGTTGCCAAAGTCTTCTGTTCGACTGCACCCAATAAGGTAGTTTCACATTTGTACACTTTTGTATTGCGCAATATTTAAACTTGCGCAACTTCGTTATTTCAGCGTGTGAACTGCGCTGCAACGTCGAAAACTTGTGCCATCTTTTAAGCTGCGTGCAATTTTCTAACTTGCATATATTTCAGAAATTGATACGTGTGACTACCCAAATGCAATAAAATGTCGTTACAACAAAGTGGACCGTTTTGTCGGTTATATAAAGTGGCGCAATTTACGTTTAGTCTGGCACGAGTACTACTGCTTAGTAGATGATGATGGGCTTCTCGCGTACTAAAATCAAGTAAAATGGACTTCGGAAAATACGTTTCTGTTACTTTTTTCTAATAAGTAGTCAAAATCCGATACCGACATCTGTAAACAAGTATACATTGTGCACAGCTCTTGTGCAGATAAAGCACCTTTTGTAAAAACGAAATAGCTTTTGTTTTGACAACACCAATGGATATATTTTTTGCAGACGTCTCAATCACTATTTGTGAGTACCCTCTTACGACAATCCGTTCTTGAGGTATAAGGGAATATACCCGGTCATTATAAGAGGTCGAGGAGGAGGGATATGGTTCGTAGAAATTAATTCGTTTCGTTGAGACCTTTCATTAGAGTACCATGAAGTTCCACCCCCCCTCCCCCTCACCACCTCGTACTTTGATAAGAGGACAGAAAGAAGGGCAGTAGTTGGTAGAAAACGTTTCCTTTCGTTGAGACCTTTAATTAGAATACAATGAGAGATAAGATTAATTTCCCCCCCCCCTCCCCCAGACCCCGTCGCTCAATGATCTCGAAAGGATCGCACGTGTAATTCGTGGGGGAAGGGGGGGGGCTTTTTCGCGAAAGTTGATGGCCGTCTCGCACATCGCTTCGTCTTCAGAATACATATTAGTATTCACAAATTTGTTTGCCAAGATAAACTATAAACAGCAGCCACTCGCACTACTCCCACTATACCAATTCTACCGCGCCCGGTTAATCGTGCAATAAAATTGAAGACGTGGAGAAGAAATGTGAACATCTTCGCAACTTAAAAAAATTGCATCCACATTTTGATATTGCGCCACACTAAATGTTGCAAGTTATTTGCAATTTTTGCGTTCAATGTGAACACCATGCGCCATTTAGTTGCGCAATATTGAAAAGTTGCGCCACAATAGTGTACAAGTGTGATACTACCTAAGGTTCTGTAAGAGTGCGCGCCATAAAAACTGTTTTTCCCAAAAAAATTTGTTTTAAGAATTACTTTATAAATTTAGACCTTTATCTACAAAATGTTCGTAACAGAAAACTCTTAAAGTGGACATAGCTTACTGAATCATCTCCATTTGATAGCTTCGATGACCTAAAAACAAAGCATCTTAAGTACACATTCCTCTTAAATAACTACATTTCTTGTAAAAAATCTAAGTTTGACTTAAAAACCTACAAGACTTATGGCAGTTTTCTGATGAACAAAAATCTGTGTTTGATGCATAAGAAATATTCCTAACATCATTTCATCAATGTTTGGCAGATTTGCTGCTATCAGCTTTCGTATACTCACTTTCAATTCTTATCTGGTTTTAAAAACTAAACTTTAGGATCATATAATCACTATAAAATGGAACAAGCATAAATTTAAAAATGTCGACAAACTCTACAAACGCACAGAGGATTAGGATAATGACGTCACGCGCTCTGATTGGCGTTTGATATCACGTGACAAATGTCGTTATTTTTTAATTTTAGTTTTACTAAAATATAATATAATAGTTTCTCGTGTACATGACCAAAGAAAGTTATTTTGCGATACCCTGACACCTTACACTATCTTATGAAACAAAAATTTATTTATTCTTTTTCCACGGTCATGTACCCTATTAGCAGTCCATGTACTATATGGTCTAAGCTTCTTATAATGAATGAAGTATAGTGACTTTATTGTGAGTCGTGTCCTCGCCATCTATACGTGATGTCCAAAATTAAATGACCGTTGTCCTACTTCAATGCCTACTTGTAACACTGAGAAGCGTTTATTTTGCCACGGAAGCGCACGTAGACACAGAAGTTCATAATTTTAAAGGTTATGTAAGTGTTTATAATATCGGTTTATCATTTGTATTTTTAAAATAATGAAAACTGTAAAGTGAAATCTCTATTAGATTAACAGAATGTCCACATCGAATGAATCCATTGAAGAGTCATCAAAGTGGTTACATCCCAACCAATTATTAAAGTTACAACGATTAAAAGTGAAAAGAAGACAATTGCAGGCTCGGATCAATAACAGTGAAGTAAATGTACCTAATGACGGTTTTAATGCTAATCTTAATAATATATCAGTATGTGGAAAACGACCAAATCCATTCGTAAAACCTTTAGGAGACTGTAAACGCACTAAACTTAATGTAAATGAATCGAGTGATGGAACCTTGTTTGGCCTCTTGCATTCCAATGATGCTATAGAGAGACCACATGCTTTAATCTCTTTTAATAAAACTATATCGGTCCCTAATGATTTGTGTTTGAATAAAGCTGACATTGTGCCGCCTATAAAAGCCCAACATTCGTGGGTACCTATCGATTGGACACTAAATTGTAAGCTGCGGTTATTATCATCTAAACCCTTTAGTTGGAGTCATAAACTGAAAATAAGTGAGGAAGCATCTGGTATTACTGCATTTGTCAGATGTCTAAATTATAACTCTGAAACCACACTTGATACATCTCCAAATGCCAAATTTCACCAATGCTGTCTTTACTGGCAACAACCACATTTTCCTTGGCTTAGTGTATTTCCTCGCACGCAAGCACAATCTTCTTCAGGCCCAAGTTTTGTTACAACGGCTGCAATGCGTGACAATTTACATATGGCATGGTCTGATGGTTTGCGTTCATTATTTCAATTGTTACGAACCCGACAATGTCCATTTTTCTATGTTTGTACCAATACTTTTACAGTATTATTTAGGGCTGCTGGAATATGTGGCCATGCAGAAATGGTTGCGTTAATAACTCCTACAACGTATGGATTTAGACAGTTGCTAAGGCAAGAGGAAATTGAATTTTCAATGCCTTTAAAAGTAAAGTCTGGCACGAAAGATAAAGGTGACGGTTCTGATGATGAAGGATCTGAAGAGAAGTGGCTTGCAAGTATGGGCATAAATGCAGAGGATAGAAAACAAATAAGTTATACTGAAAAACAACGTCATCGTAAAACAGAATGTGAGGTAGATAATAGTGAAGGAAGTTTAGTTCTAATACAAGGGATGGAAGTTCATGGTCTATATAATTTTCTTATTAATTGCAAAAGTGCTACAAGTATCACCGGTTCTTTAGCAGGTATCCCTCCGACTCTTCTGTCACCAATTGCCTTTCAAGGTGCAACCTTATCAACTTTGAAAGTAAAAGAAACCAAAATATTAATCGATAATGTGTCTTATTTTTCTTTAGAGTTAAATGGACCTATTCTACCACATATTATACATAATTTGTCTGAATTAAACCCACAAGACCAAAGCTTTACTGCTACTTTCGGACATATTACCTCTTCAATGGCGTTTAGTAAATTAGGGGAAACTGAAAAAATAGAAACTGATAGCAATACTTCTGGATTTTCAGTTTTCAGCAAAGAGAACCTATCTGATTGTGGTCTCACATCTACCATTCTAAAACACTTTTGTTCATCAGAAAAGGGGTTGATACAAAATGTAGACAGTCTCAAGTATAATCCAGAAATTAAATCATACACATGGTTGTAAAAGGTATCGTATTTTGTTTAATAAAGACATTATTTATATTGCTTTGTGTACATCACTTATT